GGCAGGGGGTTGGACTAGAAGACCTCCAAGGTCCCTTCTGTTATTCTATTCTATTTTGCTTGGTTGGAGAAGCAGCATGCCGGGCCAAGGTTCACCAGCCTTGGAAAGAGTCACTCTGTGCAAAAAGTCATTTTACTCGAGACGTAAATCTCCAAACCATTTTTTTTTTAAAAAAATAATTTTTTTTGGAAGAAATAGATAACGACTTCAGGAATAACCTGTTCAATTCTTGTTTTTCCACCCCCATTTTTTCTTTTTTTTTTTTTTAAAAAAAAAACAACTTCCTAATCTGTAGAGGGAGCTGTAACACCAGCAGAAGAATTTCATGGCTGCGACACCCTTAATGAAGAAGAAGAAAAACTGCCGTTGATTGAGGACTTTGGCTGCCTCTGTTCAGAAATTAACGTCACGAATAAAATAGCAAAGAGGAAATTCCCAGCTCAGCCCTATTTTGGGGGCGGGGGGCGGGGGGGGGAGCGAAAACTTGTTCTCGGTTCTCTTGCAAAGGTTTTTGTCGACCACTTGCAGATGGAGGGTGGGTGAGATCGAGCGGTGGTTGTGATGCACATTTGATACACGTCAGGGCCACCATCTTGACTCTTGACTCCCCCCCACACACACAAAAATATAAATAAATCTCTTCTGACCCCTGTTTTTGCTATTTTGTAAACTCCATATCCCGATGTCACTGACTGCAAACTGTTGCCCTAAGCCAGAGGTCCACAAACTTGGCAACTTTAAGACTTGTGGACTTGTGGAGTTGAAGTCCGCAAGTCTTAAAACTCGCCCTGTTTGGAGACCTCTGCCCTAACCCATTTTTTTTTTCAACCTTGGCAACATGAAATTGGACGGACTTCAACTCCCAGGATTCCCCCCCAACTGGCATTTGAAGGAATTCTGGGAGTATTCTCTATTCTATGCCCTTCTTAAAACTTGCTCAAGTTGAAAAATACTGCAGTGGATTGCTGAAAAGCTGGACTTTTGAGAAATCAGGGGAGCAGGCAGATTGGGGGAGCAGCTCTATGTTCAAGTTTGATGCTAAATCATGCAAGTTGGGGGATTCTGGGAGTTGAAAGATGTTTGAGGCTCTAGAAAGAGTGCAGAGAAGATCAACCAAGATGATTAGGGGACTGGAGGCTAAAAACGTATAAAGGACGGTTGCTGGAACTGGGCACGGCTAGTTTGATGAAAAGAAGGACCAGGGGAGACAGGATAGCAGCCTTCCAATACCTGGGCGGAGGGGAGGGGGCTGCCACGAAGAAGAGGAGGGGGTCAATCTATACTCCAAAGCACCTGAAGGCAGGACAAGAAGCAATGGATGGAAACTAAAATCAAGGAGAGAAGCAACCAAGATACAAGAAGAAATTTCCTGACAGAACAATTAATCGGTGGAATTAAGTTCCAGAAGTTTTGAATTCTCCAACACTGGAAGTTTTTAAAAAGAGATTGAACAACAATTTGTCTGAAATGGTTTCCTGCCTAAGCAGGGGGTTGGACTAGAAGACCTCCAAGGTCCCTTACAACTCTGTTATTCTATTCGTATTCTATTTTCTATTCTACTCTATATTCTATTTTATATTCTATATTTTCTATTTACTCTATATTTTCTATTCTATATTCTATTCTATTTTATAGTCTATTCTATATTTTATATTCTACTCTTCTGTATTCTATATTCTATTTTATATTCTATATTCTTTTCTATTTTCTATTCTACTCTATTCTATATATTCTACTCCATTCTATTTTCTATTTGCTATTTTATATTCTATTTTCTATTCTACTCTATATTTTTTATTCTATATTTTCTATTCTATTTTCTATTCTATATTCTATTATTTTCTATTTGCTATTCTACTCTATTCTATATGCTGTGCTATGCTATGCTATTCAAGTGGCTGAGGTTGGAAAATGTTGCTGCCTTAAGCTGTGAGCGGAACATAATTGTGGGGTGTTATGCATGAGTTCAGACACTGTGTTTATCCTTCGGGGTTTATTTAAGGATGTATCAGCAACCGGTTCCCACGAGAGCTTTCTTCATTTTTACCTTGTTTTTCCTCTGGCTGACCACGTTATGCAAACCCAGCTTGTTTGGTTGCTGCAGAGTTCTGTGCAATGCCCAAACCTTGAAATTAGGATAATTCAGTACAAGGGAATCCTCGACTTATGACGGCAATCGAGCCCCCAATGTTCTGTTCCTTAAACAAGACACTTCTCAAGTGAGCTTTTTGCCCCCGTTTTACGACTTTTTCTCGCCACGGTTGTGAAGCAAATCCAGTTGCTTGCCAGCCAGTCATAAAAAGCGGATTGGCAGGGACCTCTAGGATGCTGCAACCGTCATAAATATGAGTCAGTTGCCCCTTTGGATCCCCTGACGCGGTCGTAAGTGTGAAAAACGGCCACAAGTCCCTTTTGTTTTCCAGTGTTGTGGTCACTTCGGCTTAAATGGACTGTTTGTAAGTCGAGGACTTACCCGGAGGTCCAAATGAAACCGATAAAACCCTCATTGGTCGCCGAGTTTGGAATCGGCTCGATCCACCGTTGCGATTCACCGAAAGGAGATTTCGGTTCCAAGCTTCTCTCCTCCCGTCTCCAGCAAGACCCACAACCTCCCGTTGTCACCTGAATGACACACCTCGAGTTGTGATGGGGTGCCTGGAATCTCTGTACCGTATCTGGCTCATTATTTATTCTCTGGAACTTTCTGGCTTGCTTTTTTTTTTTTCTTTTTGAAAAATTTGGCATTTTGGGCAAGCACAGGGCAGGTGCCAACCAGCAATCTTGCTTGGCAAGTGTGGCTTGGCACACGGCAAGGGCTCGGGGGGGGGGGGGGGGGGGGGGGGGGCCCCCGGGGAAAATAAATGTGTTTTCCCAAAAGGACCGCCCCCCCCCCCATCCCCGGTGCCCTCCCCCCCCCACCAAGGATTAAATCCGGTATTTTAACCGTCCCATCGTTGCTGCGGTTTGGGGAAGAGCCGACATGCCTCCTTCCTGAATTCCAGGACTGCGGATTTTAGAAAAAGAGGAATGATCCACTGTTTTTCCCCTTCCGGGAAGGGGCATGTTTTATTAATAACGCGCTGAATTGCAGCATCTTAGCTTTTAATTCAGAGGTCTCCAAGCTTGGCAACTTTTAAGACTGGTGGACTTCGGCTTCCAGAATGCCTCAGCCAGCATAGCTTAAAAGACGCTGGCTGGGGAATTCTGGGAGTTGAAATCCATGCATCTTTGGCTGGGGAATTCTGGGAGCTGGTCCAGCCATTTTAAAACATGCTGACTGGGGAATTCTGGGAGTTGAAGTCCATGGATCTTTGGCTGGGAAATTTTGGGAGTTGGTCCAGCTATCTTAAAACA